GACCTAGACGTAGATGGGAGGATAATCTCAGGCGGGATCTATGGGAGATAGGAGTTGAAGGAAACTGGATTTTGTTGGCCCAGGACAGGGTCCGGTGGAGGGCTTTGGTTGGTTCGGTGATGAACCTTCAGGTTCGGTAAGCCATCTAGTTAGTTATGTCTTTCTTTTATGTCAATAATATTCCTAAACCAATGCTTTTCAATCATAAGTTTAAAATTATACTTTTCACAAAATGTACCCAATTCCTACAGCTTTCTTCCTAGTTTCATGAGTTACCTTAATGGATCCTTTAGTGTCCTTGTGAGATAATTTAAGTGCATTATTGAAAACTTTAAGATCTTCATCAAGAGACAGTGTTGCTCCAGGTAACTTCTGCTGATCCAGATCAATGAAATCATTCAGGCGTGCTGGAGCTTCAATGAAGACAAGTTTACGATTTCCCTATAACAAAAACATGTTCCTTATATTATTTTACTAATCAAAGCAAAAGCATACTGTAATATAACATAGTAGATTAGTGTCCAATATTCTATTAAAATTTCAGATGTTCTCTTTATTATTAAAATGAAAGGTACTTATGCTACACTAGTATGATTAATAAATCCTGTACCTTAATTGTTTTAGCAGATAATAGAAGGCAGACAAGTATAAATGATGTGAGGTCAATCAGAAAAGCAGATTGTGACAACTGACCATTTACTGGTAGTGGCAAAATTGAGGAAGAGGCTTTCAGTAAGTAGACAAACTAAGCAAAATTTCAACACAGAAAGATTTGATTTGAAAAAATTAAATGAAAGAGAGGTAAAGGAGCAATATTAAGTTGATAAATAGAATACACTATTAGGAAAGTCCAAGATAGGCTGGAGGGTTTGCAATTGAATGGGACACATCTGCTGTTGGCATATGCTAATGATGTTAATTTATTGGGTAACAATATAAATACAATAAACACAGAAGTTTTGCTAGACACTAGAAAAAACTAAGTACATATTAGTATCTACTCAGAAGACAGGTGGACAGAATTGTCTTAGGGTGGCTAATAAATCCTTTGAAAGTGTTACAAAATTCAAATATTTGGGAACAACAATAACAAATCAAAATTATATTCATGAGGAAGTTAGGAGGAGACTAAATTCTGGAAATGCTTGCTACTTCTCAGTTCAAAATATTTTGTCTGTCATTTTGTATGGGTGCAAAACATGGTCTCTCACTCTGAGGGAGGAACACAGATAGATTGCAGGTGTTTGAAAATAAGGTGTTTAGGAGGATATTTGGGGCTAGGAGAGAAGAGGATGGGTATGGAGAAAACTGAATAATGATGAGCTTAAAAATTTGTACTCTTCTCCTAGCATTGTCAGGGTGATTTAGTCAAGAAGAATGAGATGGGCAGGGCATGTGGTACGCATGGATGGGGCAAGAGGTGTGAGGTATTGGTCAGGAAGCCTGAGGGGAAGAGACCACTAGGGAGATCTAGACATAGATGGGAGGATAATCTCAGTCAGGATCTATGGGAGATAGGAGTTGATGGAGACTGGATTTTGTTGGCCCAGGACAGGGTCCGGTGCAGGGCTTTGGTTAATTCGGTGTTGAAACTTCAGGTTCAGTAAGCCATCTAGTTAGTTAGTACCTTAATTGGTGCCAGTAAACGATCATGGAACTTGGTATATTCCCGAACCCAATTGTTACAGTTGTATAAGTAAGCTGCATGGATGTTTTCATATGCTACTTCAGGCAAGACATAGAACCACTTCTGTAAGAACTCTGTCCTGATCAATGGAGAAAAGAAAAAATTTACATTCATCAACAACAATGCCAGAACTTAATATGATTTCATCTGAAACAAACGTTACCTCATACAAGAACTTATTAATAAATCATTTAACCAAAACAATTCTTAGCACTGTAAAGATAGCATTCTGAATTATGTTCTGAAACTAACTAGTCCGATTCAAAACAAACCTAAATGTTGCTTTAGTTTGATATTCTACATTAGTCCTCAACTTTCTTACATCTTTACTGTGGAATTAATAAATGGTGACGATGAAATGTGGTGTAAAATAATGTGGCACAATTCACATCCACAATCTAAAGAAACAACAGTCCACAATTACCTGTAGAAATTACACTGGCAATAATTGTTTCCTCTGCAGCCAGATATAAAATTAAATACATTTCAACTGACATAAGAGGACAAACAAATAAATCCATATGTATTCTTAACATTCATACACTTTTTACATGTGGAAAGCAATGTGTAAAATAAATTAACTTAGCACGGTATTGAAATATTTTTTTCAACTCACTTTGAATTCGGGCAGAATATCTGTGCACATGTAAACAAAGTAGTTAAACCACAGTTACGTTGGTTACTAAATGCACAAGTGTGTAATGTTTGAAAGCAGCAGTTACTCCTTAAATCATAGGTCTAATTTTATTTCAAAGACAGCAGCACATTTATATTCAATTTCATTCTGAATTATTACACTGGATAGCACCACCTATATAGTAAATTATCAACATTTTACTTCACCCACAATTCAGTATATTAGAAAATCAAACAAAATGCTATTCACTTGTATGACACTTGTCCCAATTTGAATAAACACATGGGCATATCTGACATTTATTCTTCAGAAATGGCAATAATGAATTAACCATTTAAAGCCCAATGGTAACTATGCTTTATCTAACTATAACTCTGCATTCTGCCCACAGAATGTATTTATGTCTCATAATTCTCAGAATAACCACAAATTATTTCCTTAAACAGCAGTAACCAATTAATCTCTGTAATGGTGAAATGTTGTTTCCCCTGCAGTAAGAACTGAATCTTTAAATATTATTTAGATGAACTGCAGCTTCAACAGGTTAAGGAAATCATGACAAACTGTTGGAACATACTTACAAAATCTTGGATCAAGTTTTTATTCATGAGGTCAATTACCACAAAAAGGAATCTGTAATAACAACACATACAAACAAGAGACAAACGCAGTTTTTTAATTAGACTTCAACATATGGCATCTAAATTCTATTTATAACAAGCCAAGAAACAAACACACTAAACAATTTCTTCTGACTTACCTGAATCGATTGTCCGAACATGCATGCGTAAAGTCCACAACAAGTTCAAATGGTGAATGGCAGAATGGCTTGAGAGTTAAAATCACGTGGTAAATCAACAGATCTCCATTGGTTTCACCAATTCTGTCACAGGAAAAACTAAAATTCCTTACTATAGAAGTAAAGAGGCACAGACACACTCATGTTCACATAATGAATGATTGAATGATAGGTGAACAGAAGTCAAAATCCAAATCTTTTATAATACAGTTGTACAACTGGAATTAAATTAAAACAAATATGTGAAGGCAACTGATGCAGATGAGATAGTGTTACATCCTCCCATCAATTAAAGATTAAGTGTGCTCAATTTGCTTGTAACAATATTCTAACTTTCAAAAATAAATAATCATCTGTATAAAAGATACACTGCACATCCACTGCAGAAATTAACAGAGAAGCCTGTAGTATTTACTGCCATGAAGTGAATGTTGTGTTACACTTGCAATAAAAAAACTCCAACCCAATATTAGAAGATTTTTGGTATGAAGGGCAAGAAGAGATTACTTTTTTATACTGCTATCACTGACCTGGCTTCAACCATCCTGAATAAAGTGTATCTCTATACACAACTGAGTAAACAAAAGGTCAGTTCTGGTTCCATTTTTAACAAACATTTTAACATAGTATTTAGAATGCTCACCTTTGTATTATGAAACCAATTAATTTAATAAATTACTCCTTACTACATCATTTAATTCCTAATATCCAAAATCTATCAATCCATTTAACAGAAATGGTAAAAACTATGTTTCAGTATATTAAGCATAGTACGGGGCATTAATTTTGCCTCATTCTACACCAGGGGTTCTCAACCCATGACCTACAAGTGGCACTCTATGTATGCTGTACATCACACACTTTCGTATGTATTATAAAAATAGTTACCTTCATATCAGAAAATATGTTTTGTTTGTCATCAGTATTTGGCATTACCTTTTCCTGTAATAAAAACTATTCAGCTTGGTGACAAATGTCAAACTAGGACATGCATTATTGATAAACACTTGGATGGATGTATGCAAATCACAAAAACCAAAAATTAAACCTGATTTTGAAAAATTACTCAAGTAAAATCAGTATAAAATATCACACTAATAACTGAATTTGTTACATAAAATTAATGACATGTTAACCTCTTAGTAGCAGTGCTTTAAGTTCGTAGCATGTTCAATAAACTGATAGTTGATAAGCAGGGGTGAATGTGGCCCTAGTTCTGGAAAAGGTTAAGAACCCTTGAAACGAGGATTATTTTTAAAATGTAATATTGAAATGCATGGGATCGACCTCATTCATAATCATGCAGCTTGTAAGTTATTAAGCAAGGGTGAATGTGGCCTCAGAACTGGAAAGGGTTAAGAACTCCTGTTCTGCATCACTAACAGACAAGATTCAAAAGTCAATACTGAATGCAGAAACTAAGTTATTGTTAGTGAGAAACTCTCTACATATTTCATAATGCAAGAACTCACTTATATCGACGAGCTATGTAGTAGAAGACAGGATGCCCAGCCTTGCTGGTTCCAGCTTGATAGAAAATGTTTAGGGATTTGATTGACTTAAATTCCTCCTTCTCATGCATGTTGTGTTTTACCATGATTTCTTCGAAGTTGGTACTTGACATGTCTATGGAACTCCACCTGGCATAGGATGAAAACAGCAGACTGCATACCATTACTAGGAGGTCAAGCAAAAAGGCTCAGCCTCGTTACACAGCTACAAAAATACTGTATTTCCTCGATTTTGAGATGTCACCGATTGTAAGAGGTATTCAGGGGAAAAGATTCTATATCAGTTCTTAGATGCCATCAAATAAAAGACACACTCCAATTTAAAAGATTTTAAAATGTGAAAAAAGTGTATTAAAATCAAGGAAATACAGTATAAGTACACTGAACAAATTAAATTCAGTTCTTTATTATCAGTGTGCTGCATCAACAGCCAGAAGGCCAATTACAGATACAGGAAAATAAAGGAAAATAAAATGAATACAATAATACAGAAAGATAACAAAGAGATTATGAAAATATTACATGAGTGTAGAGGACGTTTATACAGGAAGGCAACTTGCTACTGAATATATCAATAAATTTGTAATAACAATTGAAATAAAGTCAATAGATTAAAATGAGAAGAAAGTACACAAAACACACAAGGTACTAGACAAGAAAATTTATATAATTATTATGATTGCAAACATAAAAGACTCCAGATTTAACACTTCTTTATTTGGGTGAATAAAGTACACTATCTCCATACAATAAAAATTATGAATCTGAAATATTCCTCGCTTCAAGGTTTTTCTCATTAACTGTTCAATTTTTATAGCCTCAAATATTTGTTCTATGGTGCCTGGGTATCTGATGTTCATATCAAATGTCCTACAGATATATATCAAAAAGGAATTTCACTACTCTAAGTAAAATTACATTTTCTTGCAACATTTTTACAGGCCTATTCCAAAAGTATTTCAAAGTAAAATACTGTGTATGGCAAAGCATACTTTACACTAATTTGACATGAAATGGTAATTTATACCTACACAGTTAAAGCAGAAACACTATAACAATACTGTCGCAAGTTACACAAGGACGACAATATTGACTGGTGATAGTAGTGATTGTGGCTGTGATGATAACCACTATCAACATGATAATTCTCTTATTGGCAAATATGAATTGATACTTACTGAGAATCTACAGGTTTGTGCTCAGGAGGACCCAAATATGCCAACAATGTTGCCATCTTATCGAAAGGTCGCCGTCCTACAGCTTTATGATCACGACTACTGGATAAGTAATCACCAATTCTCTCTTGGTGATTCCAGAGCAAACGATGCAATGCTAAGATGTTAGCGTCACTGATAAATGACATTGAGTGTGAAGCCTGATCAACAGTTTCACAATCAGAAGCTATCTGGATAAAGAACCTGTAACAATGATACAGAAGCAAACAAAGTGCAGAATGAAAACCAAGGAAGGGTCACACAGAAGAAATTTCCTACCTGAAGTTTGTTTTCCCATCAACAATGGAGTTAAACACAAAGTAGAGTAAAATCTTACATGGAGGCAATTCAGCATCAGATACAGAAAATGGGACTACAATTACTGAAGGTTCAATAAAAGGAGTTCTTAACCAAATAAATACTAAATGGTAAATGTACTGTACATAAAAATGTATTTAAAAGATCATTATATACCTGTACATTTAATTTGAAGGTTGCAGAACACATTAAAATCACAGAAATAAAAAATGAGTCATTTTACACACATATCTACAAGTGTTTGTTAATTTCAAAGGCCACAAAAATAAACAAAAACTAGTAAGTCAGTACAATTTACCAAAAAAATAAATACTGACTTGTATGTAATTAATCAGTTAATTTTGAAAAAAAAAAACATAATATACTGAACGCAAGCTACTTTGCTTACATAATTATCACATTACAACAACAACAAATATGGCACAATAATTCAAGTTACTCTTTATTTGTGCCTCAGAATAAAATTTATCAATTAAATCTCACCTTCTACCAGTCTCAAAATGTGCACGCAGAAAATCATTGAATGGCAGCATATGTTGTTCTTTGCTGAATTCAACATGGTTTGCAATGTTTTGCAAGATCTTGGACATGAGCATCAGGCCTCGTTTTACAGGAGGAGGTACCTGCTTACTTACAATTCCCATCTCCTGTGGCGACACTACAAACAATAATATTTATATTATAGACAAGGCAACAAAGTTATATAAATACAATGGCCATAGGAGAGAGTAAATCATTACTAACAATCTGTGAAAAGGTGCAGCAACTGATAAGGGGGTAACAGGAAACAAACCAACTGTGAAAATAATAAATTTCTCAACAAATAAACAATAGCAATGATCAAATCAACCTATAGCTGGCTTTAAACTACAGTAATTGCTTTAAAACAAACTGAAGATCAGGTAAATAATGCCATTCAACTTGCCTATTGCTGGATTGATAAATCGGAGAAAGATGACAGTCCCAACTGCTCCTATATTATTTTGAGGGAACTGTGGAAATCTTTTACTGAGCACCTGGTACAGACAGTGGCACATACTCCGTAACTGTGGGGGGAATCTGAAAGAACACTCGCAATTATCTAGGGTCCAATAACCTTTGGCATCCAAATCCTTCCACTGGATTTGAACAGAGATCTGACAGATAAAGTTCAGGCAATGGTTAACCCTTTGTGTACCAGCCGGCCGATCCGTCAGCCGAAGCAGTAGCAAAGAAACGAATTCGGCCGATACGTCGTTACCTACTAAATCTGATGTTTCAATTACATATAAGGCTCCCAGATGGCAACACAAGGCTGCACCAGATAGTTTATACTTTAGTTCATGTTTCCTCAACAGATGGATCTTTTAGGCCAACAAAAAATATTTTTTTTGAACAAATGAAATTCGTTAAGCTCAGAAGTGGACCTCGTGGCGAGCTTACAATTATTGCTTGTGGATTTCGCTGTATTTTCTATGAAGATAAGTGTTTAGCCTTGTAATTGTGTTTTTGGTTGAGGTTTATATAGTGCTTATGATATATTTTTGTTATTTTCCTTAGTTTATTGTATATAGATTTAGTTTTTCTTTTAGATTTCTCACTTCGGCAATGGCTGGTCCAAGTTCAAGAATGGATGACACCGATATTTTGGATTATTTGGATACTATAGATAGTGATAGTGACATTATTCCAGAAAGTGTGTCTGATTGTACTGAAAGTGATGATGACATTGTAATTCAGGAACAGATAACAGTACAGACACCAGACTCATATCAAATTATGCAGAAAGAAATGTTCTTTCTTGCTGGATGTGTGATGAAGAAGGAAGACAAAACAAAATTTATGATTTCACTTCCTGAAAATGAAATTCTTTTTGTAAATATTATTTTTCAATAATTCAAAATTTTTTGTAAGCAAAAAATAACATTAAAATTTATGAAATTTCTTTCCTAATCTACAGTATTTAGTGCTTGATTTTTTTCATATGTAGGTGTGTAAAATTCTTATCTTGGTGAATTTTTATATTTATTTAAGCTGTAAATACGTGAAAATTGGCCTGGGTGTTTTCAACTGGATTTTGAAAATAGGCTTCGTGGTTAAAATGGTTAAACAGTGTTTGAAACTTATTCATCAATATGGTACTTATTATTCTCAATGGAAACAATTTGCAAATTCTTTGTTTAAACTACTGAATATAAGAGGGGGGGGAGAAATAAAAGGGAATCATACTTATCTGCAGATGATATAATGGCATCGAACACCTTCTGCGTAAGTGCTACCAAGTTCCTTCTGTTTTCTTCTATGTCTTCACTCGGATCCAACCTGTCACAATTATATGTAAGTAACAAAACTGAATATTTACACAAAGAGATGTAATATCATCAAAAGGTCCAATATATTATACAAAAACTATAAAAATACCATCTTGCCACATAGCTCAAGTTAGGTGCATTTCATATTATCACCACTAGAGGGATCCAGAAAATAATAGCAATTTAAAAATGCAATAAAAAAATTCCCAGCCACTGTCAAAGGTCAAATTATGATAACTATACCAAAGTATGCTACGGATACATTTCTTAATTTGTTTCATGTAAATGGACAATAACAGAAGGTGCTTTAAATCACCGAATACTAAATAAACTCAAACACAGCTGAAACACCTCTTATAAATAAAAAGTAGAAGACAGTGGCGGCTCATGAGTTTGACCAGTAGTAGTGCTGCGCAAGGGGGGGAAACAGAATAGTTTTTCAACACATAACAATATAAATAAATGAAAAGTAAATTTATATCAGGAGAAAACCCACACGTGTTCGATGATGTTTAAACTATTTGCAAGTCCGGAAGAGGGCGACCATCATTTCTTTTTTCACTCAAAGACAATTTAGAAAAAGTAATTTGCTGTAAATATGACACTTCCTTTGCTCATTGTCATTATCAGAACAACAAATAGTCAGCACACAGAATTATTGAAAACTCATTAACAATAACCACGAAAGAATTTGTGATATAGAATCCAGTCTAAAACACGTGGTACCGGGCAAGCGTGTTTACTATAAGCTGGCTGTGGGGACTGCAGCCCTGATACACGCTGTACCAGTGAACTGCCCTGCACTCCACCGCCCTCTGCACTCATTACTTTTGACCGGCTAGCCGCGCTGAAATCCTTGCAGCCGTTCTGCTTCGCACTCCTCGCCCGTGGTCTTATTGTCAGTTCAGCTGATTAGTGGATAATGACAATGTAAGGGGCAATATTAAAATAATGATACAGGGGAAATAAAGTGTTACAAATTACATAAACACAAAAAAAAAATCAGTTTTTGAAAAATTACAGGGGGTGCTACAGCTCTTATGGACGGGCCGCCACTGGAAGTAGAACAGATGGGATAATTATGTAAAGTTTCAATCTGGAAAATGTATCACACTCACCACCTTAGAGTTGAAAAACAAATGGACACCCGACACACGTACTGAAATAAATATATAAAGTAATGAAAAACCAAGGACAAACAACTAACTCACCTCGCAGGATCAACTTCAAAGCTCTGACTGGCCTCTTCAAGTAACGGTCTGATCAAGGGTTCCAATAAACTTTGTAGGTAACTAGCACCATAGATCTTGAAACAAAATGCCATAATTTTGCTGCCTAATGAATTTCCTCGAAACAGAGTCTGCATACAATCAGAGACTTCAACTTCTCTGTAGAACATGTTCCACAGAAGTGGAGACAATAAATGCTTGGCATCAAACAGCGTTACAAATACTCTGGCCAACTCATCCTGAAAGCAAAATATTGTGTAGAGGTAAACAACACTTTGTAAACTTTGTTGCAACCCCCTCCCCTGCTATAGCAGTATAACCAACCTTGTAATGTCACCCATAATGCTGAAAGCTTCTAGCAATGTCTGAATTGTCAGCACCCCCCCCCCCCCCAACCCACACAGCGATGCAAAGCAACAGCTGATGGCGGAGGTATGGAGTAAGTTATGGAAGCATCTAGTGATTGCTTGTGATGTGTTCTAAAATGGTGGAGTATTCTGTTGAACAATTACTAAAACTCTAAAACCACATACATAAACTCCTCAAACCAGTCAGTCTAGTGTTGAAGTAACATTTTAAACAGCAACCAAAGAGTTATGAAGTGAGTGGAGAGAAGACAATAAAATTTACATAAGTCAATACACGTGCAAAAAAATGTGCAAAATTTTAAACATTTACATTCTGACTACCGTTATAAAATTAAATAATGTTAAAGATTCTATTTATTATTTAAACTTACCATTTGTGATGTAGTGACAACATTGGCAAGGGCCATTGCAATTGGTAGTTCACCTTTGTCACTGATCATAGTTGCCAACTGCACCAGCTGTTCGAACCTATCTGCTAAAACAGTCTCAGCCAGTGTGTCAAACTCTGTTCCTTGTTGAAGAATTTTTGTCAACACCTCCATGAATGCTGCACGAGTCTGCAGATCACGGTTGTAGCCCAAATCTGCAGCAAGATATTGAACACAAATACAGTGACACTACAGTTTATAAGCCCTTCTCCAAATGTATTTTTCCAGCAGTAAATACATGGAATCCCCAATTCAATTAATAAAGCAACTAGTAAAGACACTGTATTCATTACTCATTTCCCCACGTCAACATTACCAAATTAACATGCTTCACCATAAAATCTCAAGTCTCATACACAATTATTTTGTTATTTTTTATAATGTTTAAATAGTTTACTTTAAATTCAGTCAATCATGAACCAAACAACTCTTTAGGTGAAACTTCATGATGAAGCAACCCTAAGAACTAAAAACTAAAGGTACTGATTAATATTTGATAAATCTATAGGATTTTCCTGTACATACCTTCAAACTAACAGAGAAGTCACACAAAGCTTAACTGAATGTGTATATATTCAACTTGTCTATGTTACTCCTTACCTATAGAATGCATAAGACCACTGTCAATGTTGGCTGATAGCAAATTTGACATGGCCTGTATTGTTGCATTGCGAAGAGTATTCAATTTTCCTACAGCCACACGCTGTCGGCTCACCTCCTTTTCTACATCCTGTGCATCACTGCAGTCATTTAGTAGATTCATGAACAATGTAAAATACCTAGAAACAAAATATATCACTGAATTCTCTGTCACAAACAAGTCAGCGTATGCAGAAAATCATTCACCCATTTCTCAATAACTGCTAGACTAGACATATGCAAAGAGTGATCTTAGAATCCTTTATGGACTGAATATTAAAATACACAAAACAGCTCATTTCTCAGGACCACCACACCACACCACACATAAAATAACTCCATTCTGACTGCACAGAGAATCATTAAAATCAATAATGATGGTGTTACCAAACTTCTACCAACCTAATTAAACACTGATATATATTAAATAATTCAGACTACATTTCACAGGTTTAAAATCATAAGAATGTCATGTTCTATACAGATTAAGTGAAATACTGTCATAATTCTTGAGGCAAAAATTACTTTCAAGAATATCTCATCATTACCAATCATACCACAAAAAGGTTTCAGATAAAATGTTAAGAACTTACACAACCTTGTGACTTTTAAAAACACAACCACAAAATGTGTTTGCCCAACACAAGTTAACTCTTAGGGTACACAATTTTATCAACATGAAGATACAGGTCCTTTGAACTGTTCTGGTTCCATGCTTTATAGCTGATCCATCAGTCTCTCCACAAGTATTCCTAAAACTTGTTTCTCTGTGCATATGTGCGGTGCTACAGCTCTTATAGTGTTCTGTCTGACGACAGGTCCATATGAACAGGATCCTTCCATCCTTTTCTCGGACTGGGACCTGTTCATATACGTTCTTGGCAGATCATCCAGAAGTGGTTTGCCATTGCCTTCTTCTGTGTGTGAATGGAGTAATTGTTGGGATGCCACGGAGAAACCGGGGAAGCCCCCGGAGGAAAACTCCGTGTTGCCTAGACCACGGCCTTGCCCAACACAAGTTATAAATTCGGGCACTGCCGGGAATCGAACCGGAGACACCTGGGTTACAAGGCCAGCGTTCTAACCGCTAGACCACCGTGGCACCCTATATGTGCTCTATATTTATATAATGTAAATTTGTGCAATAGTTAACTATGTTTTAAAACTACAAGTCTCTTATTTAGCATGGGAATATTTATCTTACTTCAGAAAAAGTTGGCTCTTTGCTTCCATAAGGTCACCACGATCAGACTCTTCGGGCTGTAATGGTAATCCTCTGAGCAAAGCAGCAACTGCTTCCATGCATGCCTGGTCCAAATCTCTGAAATATTTCAATTATTCCATTAATTAGAGGACCACACACACGCAGGATTCACACTGAAACAACTAGCAACAAGCAACAGGTAACAAGTGATATTGTGATATGCAATATCGCATCAGCCCTATATTAACACCAAAGCAATCAAATTGCTAGTTTGTAAAAATGTCAATGAATGATGTGATCAATACATACATGTTCTATAATTTGCACAAATTTACTATTATGTTCTGCAGTGGCCTTATTATTATTTACTGTGGCGCAATGCACGCAAGATGGTTCACTGGATGATGCAATAAGCCAAGCAATATCGTTATCTATTGACTATTGCTTAAAATGGTGCTTGTTTCTAGTTGCTTCAGTGTGGACCCTACCCCACAAAACAAAGACAATAAAGTTTTCATAAGAACAGGAATAATTTTATAAGATTTCAAAAATAAAGTGACTGAGCATAAAATATAGTGGAAGTGCTTCAGTATAAGCTTTATAATGGTGGCAGACAAAAATACCAAGATAGTCAAGAGAGAACTACTACATTTTGTAACACGGCCTTGGGCATATGAAAATATTGCAGATATATCACTCCCCTTCTCCCTGTGCTAGCAAAGGTGAATGTTCCATTACTAAGCAAATAATAAAACATAAATGCCTCATGCTAATGCTTTCCATTCTTCTAACCGGATATCACACAAAATTGACTGAAAATCAGAACCACGTAAAGCAAGGTAGGGAAAACTAAAAAGAGAACAAGTATTAAAAACCATCTGCCACTGACCTGATGAATTTAGGTTTCCAAATAATTTTGTTTCAGATGTCATAACAAGTCACTATACAAATTTCACTTATCAGGCTAGAATAATTTTTCAGTTATCATCAATCCAAAGTACTAGTATTTTTTGTGGTCACAATGCTGATATTGTTACATCTTTCAATGATTTGTCTTCAAAACCTGATAATAAATGGTTCTAGTTATGTTACCAACTCATATTTTCACATAGGAAGTTACAAAGTACCAGTCTTCAACTTAACTATGTTAGTACAAATTTTCATGAAAAGTTGCCAATTAATGTCTACCAACTGATAAAATAAGACATGGATTCACAGATGGACAGATACACACTGTTTAATAACAGTTAAAAGAAGGAATAGTTACTGTCCACAGACTGGGAGTTGGTGATGCAGCTGTGGTGGAGATGCACATTGCGTTGACCATTCTATTAATGTTTGTGTGTATCATCAGCTTTCCCTTGAGTTGTACAAAACAGATACTATACCAATGATCATAGTTCTTTTACCATGTGTAGTAGTGGTGCACAGTTGAGTCAAACTACTTCGCCATCTTTCAATCTATGTAATGTACTAATTGAACAACTATTTTCAGACTACCAAAAGAATTCTAGTCCTTCAGAGCCCTAAAATTTGTTGGCATGTGCACATAACTTGTTGATTAAACATGACTGAATGTATTCGCAAAATTATCCAACAATCTTTGTGAGATATCAACCATACCTGGTAATGACAGTAACATCTCCGCACCCTGGAGGTGCTATCTGATGTGATGTTCCCATCACCCAGTCTGTCAAATACTCCACCAACTTGTTGCGGAACTTCATCTCTTGACGGAAAGCAAGATCATCCCGCCGTTTCATCATGGCTTCCACTAACTGACAAAGCTTCGTCTTGATATGGATAGCATGTACAGTCATATCAAGATAACGGACATACCTTTAAACAACATAAATTTGTAACATTCAAGTCCTGTTGTTTCAACAAGAATTTGTGATTTGGCATAAAAAAACTGGGCTCATGAACAAGTTTCTGTTTAAGACCTATCTTTTGCTCCATCTTAACCCTTCAGCGTGGGAGCATTTAAATCCGAAGTCTATACTGTGCTGTGGGAGGATTTTCTGCTTGGGTATTTAATTTTGAGCTTGAAAGTGCATCATTTTACTTATATGGGCACAACTTCCCTAATAATTTATGAATTTAAGTGAAACTTTGAACAAAATGTTCACAACACACTATGCTTCGGTCGTCTACAGTTCTATCAATGTCTTGAGGAGACAAAAAACGTCTGGTACTCGAAGCCATAATCACGGCTGACTGACAGCAGATATGTGCTACAGAAGTCCGTTCATACCAAGCTTGCTGACATCATATACCGTTGCAAAGCTTGCAATGTGTTCTACACAGCTGTCGTAGCCGTAACTATATTACTTCATTCGTCTTCGATAGAGGGAGCCACAGAGCAGAGACTGAATGCAGTTGAGTTCAATAATCGATCTATATTTCAAAGTCAAAAAACACTGGTAAAATCGATCTGTCAGAGTCATGTTATATATCAATCGACAGCCAGCTTTTTTCTCTACACGGCTACTGGAGCCAGAATACATAAATCACAAGGTCAGTCGCTACGTAGAAGGAGAAATCTTATCGCGCATTATGCGAGCAGTGCTCGGCACACTCCACGCCATGGGATGATTACGTCATGACGAGCGATGTTCGGCACTCCACGCTGAAGGGTTAAAAGCAATGATGGCATAATATTTACAGAGTGATAACAGCTCAGCAATTGCCACATCTTACTACAACCCATTTCAGTTCAATACTGAACATGAGTCAACAACCTGTAACATTCAATGTCACTGGACCACAGACTTAAAAAAATTATTTATACCATAATAAAAGACAATATGAATTTAGAAATATGTGAAAACCTAAATCTTGAAATTCATTTCCAAACTCTGCCACCTGAATGTGGCTTCAAATTTATAACTTACCTTCAATCCCTTAAGAACAATGCAACTTTAAAAATCTGTCGCTTAAATTGACGATCACTAGTAGATACAATTTCACTGAAAAATGTAAGGCACCAACAAAACTATTACAAAACTGCCTGATTTGAATAGAGATTTTTTTCAATGATTCACTAAAACATTATTCTTTTGTTTGTTCAGCCTGCTGAAGGCAACATGTGACTCAGAAGTCTGCATGACTTAGATATATCACATTCTGGTGACCAAGTTCATAAAAGTGGCTCTTGCTAAACTAGAGACCCTGCATTTGATAAAATGTGTAAGAACATATCTGCCTTGGTAGTGTGGTGCTTAGACACAGGGAAATCTTTAACTTCAACTACTAATGTTATAGAGCACAGTCATTTCATGATAAGCTAATGCTCAGTTAGTTCAGAAATTGTCCGCCCTTCACAAAACCAAAGGTTCTTCGTTGTGTTCACTCAAAGTATCTGCTTAATGAACACTGTGTGAATTATGAACATACCTGACAATAGCCAACATCATCCCTTCTATACTGGTAACACCAAGATGTTCTGATGGCTGGTCTGTTTTACTGTCCAGCACATTCTTCATGATGAATATAATGTGCTCAATAAACTGTGTGTTGATGTCAGACACAATCACCTACAAATAACATGTATATATGTGCACACATATTAGTAACAGTGGTACCTTACATGTGCACATATGTGTCACCTTAAGCTTTCCAGTGCGATATCTTAAAAAATTATTATAGAAAGACAACTCTTAGATTGATCACTTCCAAACCTTCAGACAGACTGGACGGTTGTTTTTACATTCCCTCAAGGGTTCAAATCCAGATGCTTACAGAATCTAATTCCTTCACCAGGAAACAATTTCAAAAAGAAATTTTGCTTTTATAAAATTTATGGAGTTACATCTGTTATATGGCAGTGAGACTTTAAATATCAAATACACACATCAACAAGTTTAAATATTTTTACTCACTTCAACAAAATCTATTTGCTCCCCCCAACAAAATAATGTATTCTAGAGGCTA